GGAGGAATTAGGAAGAAAAGAGATGTAAAGACAGCTTTTAGCTATCAGATAAATATTAAATAAAAAAATACCTTCTTCTATTTTTCCCCTTTTATAATATATTTCCTGTGATTTGGAATGGTTATTGTATTCTCAGACCAATGAAAAGTTGAAGAAAGTTCCACAGTAAGAAAAGAAGTGCGTTTAAATGTAAATCCTATGTAAGCAGATAATAAAATGTCTATTAATAAATGAAAATCATAAGTTGATTTCAACAGTGCATTTCATGAGTACACAGTGTGTTTTATTATTTTGGTCATTTGAAATCCTTTATAAATGAAACTTTTTTAAAAATATTTTATTTATTTATTATTAGAGAGAGATTACATGTAAGCAGAGTGGGGAGGAGCAGAGGGAGAGGGAGAGAGAGAATCTCAAGCAGACTCCACGTTCAGTGCAGGGCACCATGTGGGGCTCCATCTCACGACACTGAGATCATGACCTGAGCTGAAATCAAGAGTCAGGAGCTTAACCAACTGAGCCATCCAGGTGCCCTAAATGATTTCTTTACAAAAGAAGTGCTGGAATGCCAGTCTGATTTGTATACTTAGTCATTTCAGGATGACATTCATTCAAGTTTCCCCACATCTAGTAAGGAAATCTTTGTACACATCACTCATTATCTCATTGGAATAAATGCCTAATGCTTAATTGCTGGGTCAAAGGAGTAAACATGCATAGGTCTTTTTAATACTGTCATCTAAATAAGTCATACATTTCATTCTTATTACAAGTATATGAGATATCTTTTGTCTATAATCCCAGCCAGGACTGGATCTGTTTTTCAGATCTTTGTCAATTTGGTAGAATAAAATTACATCTCACTGTCGTTTTAAATTTAAGGCTGAATTTTTTCATGTATTTGCTAACCATTTGTACTTTTATCTTCAACAATTGCCTTTTCTTATAATTTGCCCTTGTATTTATATGCTAAGAACATTGATCTCTTTCTTATTGATTTTTAAGAATATTTATTATTGGCTCATATTTTGCAATAGTCTCCTAATTTTAAGCCTATTTTTAAATTATTTTTCAATATTAGACATTTAAAATTCCTATACATAAGATAAATGTAAATTATATAGTAATGAAATAAAAAACTTGAAACTACAATCCATATAAAGAACTAAAATATTACCAAGTACCAATGAATGATTGTGCTCTTTTACCTTTTCTTCTCCCTCTGGTCTGCCCAGATATCACTGTTACACAAACTTTTATGTTTAAAATGTCCTGGTATTCTTAGTAGTTGTATTTTTTATGTATTTAAGCCATGAAATATATTGCTTAAGTTTTCTTCTTTTGTGCTTTATAAAATTGTCAGTATTCCAGAGTGGTGAAGAGCAGGAACTTTGGAACCAGATAGCCTGGGTTCAAAGTTGAGTGCTCACCTTACTAGTTGCATAATCATGCAAGTTTAGTTAAGTTCCACCCTTTCCTCATTTATAAAGGGAGGTTAATAATGGTTGTATATGGTATCTACCACATATAAAAGTTGTATTATATTTTATTGAGGATCTAGTCATTTTATAGGAATGGGGTCCACCAAGATACCTAATTGACCCTACAGCAGAAGGTGAAAGTTAATACCTTTTATTTGCTATTCTTATATAAGTTTTCACTATTGGGTTAAAAAAAGTGTTTCTTATGGTGTCTTCTATCTTTTCCCTGAGATTAGATGGATATTCACATATATTTTCTTTAGCTCTTTTATACTTAAAAATTTTTATGTTCAATTTTTAGGACACATGGAATTTATTTTGGCATATACGTTAGTATATATCTAATTGCACTTTTTTCTAAATACAAAATACATTGTTTTACAGTATTTATAAAAATCTAACATTTCCTTACTAATTTGAAATGCCACCTTATCATATTCTAAATACTTAAATGTACATGAGATTAGTTCAAGGTTTTGTATGTTTTCCCACTGATCTATTATTCTAATACATTTTAAGCTAGTAAGCTAAGCATATTTTTCTACTTCCTCTTTTTCCTCTATTCCTTGGGTTTCTACTTCTACCATTTCCATAAACTTGCCAAGTTTGTAAATTCTCAGTACAGGACATGATCTGATGCTTACTTCTCACAACATTTGCACAACAGTCAACGATACTGACCTCTTTTTCCTTCTTGAAATAGTTAATTAACTTTCCTGACACCAGAAAAATCTCCTTTCTGGTAAAGTTTATGAGTGTCCACATATTTCCCTGTCCACAGACAGTTTCAGAATCACAGAATATTAAGAGTGGAAAGTCCCTCTTTAATACCCACCACCAGGTGATGGGTATTAAAGAGGGCATGTACTGAATGGAGCACTGGGTGTTATACGCAAACTGTGAATCATGGAACACTACATCAAAAACTAATGATGTAATGTATGGTGATTAACATAACATAATAAAAAAAAGAAAAAAGAAAACCTATATAAGTTTGTATGTATATGAGAAATAAATTTTGGTCATGTTCAAAAAAAAAAAGTGGAAAGTCCCAAATCACCAGTTATCTACACTATAACATCATAATCACTTGAAAAGAATTTTAAAGATGCATATTCCTGAACCCTGCCCATAGATATATTCTAATTGAGTAGGTCTGAGATGGAACTAGGAGATCATAAGTGTTTCCTGAATGATTCTGACATATACCCAAGTTGTGAATCATTAATCTAGTTCAAACCTAGTAGTGTATAAGTCAACAACTGAGACACAATTATCACAAGATTTTTTAAATAGATGGAATATTTGGCATAATCAAGCCAAGCCTCTTATTTTGCAGGTTACTAATCTGAGGTTCTGTAATGAAATGGCACTACTATATGGTGGCAAACCCTAAACTATACCCCATTTACTATAGCTCGAATCCCAAGCAAATGGATAACGATCTTCGCAAAAACCCTTTTAAGTAGATACTATTATTTTTCTCATTTTAGAGTTGAAGAAACAGATACCTTAAAATGTTAAGTAACTTTTTCAGAATCACATAATTAGCAGATTACAGAGCTGAAATTTAAACCCAGGTAGTCTGACACCAGAAACTGTGAGCTTACTCTACCTTGCTGCTGGAAGTCTTCCCAACTCATGCCTCCCTTCCCCCAGTTACTGAATACACACAGCCATTTATATAAAACTAAATCAATCTCTGTTTTCCATCACTGTGCTTTAAGAGAAAATGGAAAAGAAAAGCAATGTGAAAACAAAGTATTGGGAAACTCACTCTAGGAGGAAGAAATGTTAATTCTTTGAATGACTCTTCTCCCCAAAGATCTCCTTTTTGACTCAAAATTTAAAGTCATATAGCAAGCATTGATTTAACCCACCAATACTTGCTGAGGCTTTACTAAGTGCTAGACACCCTGCTAAGCGCTGGGAGTATAATAGAGAATAAATATACATGGTACCTTTCCTCACAGGGAAGACATATAATCAGGCAATTATAAAAGCATGTGAAAATTGTTTTTATTACTGTGGCAGGCCTGACTATTTCACTCTGAGAAATACAGGACAGAGCACTTAAACTTTATAAGACGGGTTAGGCAGCTGTTTCCCTTCAGGTGATATCTGAAGCATAAACAGAAAACAGAGGTAATAAGAGTGTGCTGGAAAAATAGAGATGATGATAGATAGATAGATAGATAGATAGATAGATAGATGATAGATAGATAGATAGATAGATAGATAGATGATAGATAGATAACCAACCAACCATGGAGGAAGCATGAGCAAAAAGGAATTTTCAAGGAAAGGCAGGCAAAGAAAAACAAGAGAAACCCCCTACTCTACACATTCTCAAATGATTTTCTTAAGATTTTAAAGAAGGCAACTTGTATAAATATATGTCTTTCTTACATAACCTACTCCTTTGTAGTTAACTGTAAATTTTCCTGCAAATGAATTTCTTAAAGTTTTCTTATAATTAAATAAATGGAGTCAGATTGTACTTTGAAGGGAAAAAGAATTTCAGTACAATGGGATCTGTACCTCAATAGGGTAGGCACAGAATGCTGCTGGCATATATCTGAAGGTCATCTAATCTCACCCTTCTGTCCAGAAAAGACTTCCCAGAGATTCTGGATAACCTAATACCTGAGGGATGGACAGGTTGAGTGAGGCAAAGAGGGTACATGAGGGTGTTCCAGGGTGAGAGAAGAGCTTGTGGGAAAATGTGCAAAAGAATAGTTTATTAAATTTGGGAAAGTTCAGTGTGACTTTAGTAGACTACCAGAAAAAAGGCAGGGAGGAGGAGATATAATAACAGAAAATCAGGCTGGAGACATGACCAAGTCAAGATATGATCCTTGTTTGACATAATGTGGAGCTTGGTTTTACATTGAAGAAAACTGCAGTGAACAGAGTAAACTAAGGTAAATGAGATCTTATTGGAAGCATGGAAAGAGCACTCTGGTTTCAGTGCAGAGAGTGGATTTCAAGGGGTAAAGATAAGAGAGGGAGAGGCTAGTAAGGAGGCTGGTTTCCAGATGACAAACAATAGTGCCATGAGGAGAACAACACTTAATAAATTGGGTGTGGAGGACAAGCAAAGAGAGAGGAATCAAAGAAAATACTAGTTTGGGATCTGAGCAATTGAGTAAAGGATGGTGCCATTCATGATGATAGAGATCACAGGAAGAGAAAAGAGTCTGTGAATGTTCCCTCTAAAGTATAAGAGGAAAACAATGGGAAGGAAGAAAGAGAGAGAGAAAGGACAGGAAGAAGGAAGAGAGGAGAAAACATAGTATTAGGCCCCCGATACTATTCTACAAACATCCATTTGCATTAATTTATTCATCCCAATAACCCTGTAAAGTAATATGATGCCCCTATTCTGCAGTTTTCAACCTGGGCCTTCTAATTCCAACACTCTATTAGACCTCATTTCTTTCTCTATGAAAAAAAAAAAAAAACCTCTATAGAGGAATAAAAAGAATTTTAAGAGAAAGCTGTATTTTCTTACGTTAATTAATACTGCTTTGGCTCAATATTATTAAATATTTTTCTATTCAAGCTTTTTTTTAGGGTAACTTTAACCTCCTTGTTCCTGAAGCTGTAGATCAGAGAATTGAGCATAGGCACCACAATGGCATAGAACACGGTGGACACTTTCCCTTGGTCCATGGACAAAATAGAAGAAGGATGAAGATACATGAATGCCCCTGACCCAAAGAAAACAGAAACGACAATTATATGTGAGATACAAGTGCTGAAGGCTTTGGACCTTCCTTCAGTGGAACGGATGCGAAGGATGCTGGCGAGGATAAAAGTGTAAGAGACAATGATAGTGAAGCTGGGCACGCCAACATCAAAGCCCACAACAATGAGAACTACCAGTTCATTGACGTGAGTGCTTGTGCAGGAGAGCTCCAGGAGGGGGAGGATGTCACACATGTAGTGGTTGATGGTGTTGGCATCACAGAAGGTCAGCCTCAGCATGCATCCTGTGTGGGCCCAGGCACCAATAAATGCCCCCACATATACAATCACAGCCAGCAGAGAACAGACCTGAGGGGACAAGGTGACTGTATACAGCAGGGGCTTGCAAATGGTCACATAGTGATCATAGGCCATTACTGTTAATACATAGCACTCTGTACTGACAAAGAAGCAGTAGAAAAAGAGCTGAGTCATGCATCCTGCATAGGAAATGGTGTTCAGCTCAGACACAAAGTTTACCAGCAGTTTTGGGGTGATGACGGAAGAGTAACAGAGGTCAATAAAGGATAAATTGAAGAGGAAGTGGTACATGGGGGTGTGGAGGTGACAATTCTGTCCTATTAGAGTGACCAAGCCCATGTTTCCTGCCACAGTGACAATGTAGATTCCTAGGAAAAGGAAGAACAGGGGCAGCTGGATCTCTGAATATATGGTTAAACCAATAAGGATAAACTCAGTGACTAAGGAACTGTTTCCCATATCCATGCTCTTCCAGTAGGATCTGAAAGATAGGAGAGTAGAATCATATTGAGGCAGAATCCAGATTTCCTATGCAATCCCATGTCCAGTCTATTCTGGAGCCAAGAAGCCAATGGACTCTGTTGAGGTTTAACTACTTTACAGGAAGCTGGGATCTGGCTCTGCTCATACAAGGAAGACAAGTAGATGGGAGGCATCAACATAGTTTCAAGTAACACTGGAAGAAATATTTCAAGAGGGGATGAAGTATAGATATTTCTCATCTTTTCTCTGCTTCAATTTGCCATTAATACTTTTTATTCCTTCGTTTCTTCCAGTTTGTGCTTGTTAATCTTTAATCACCACACTTTGGCTACCTGTGCTGGTCACAGATCCAGACTGGACACTGTATAGGGTGGAGATCATGAGCACATGTCCATAGCAGAGTTGGAGAAACAGACTTGCAGAGACTCTTTGGTTTCCCAAGCACACATATCAAGAAAGTCATTAAGTCAGGAATGGAAGCTGGATTTCCTTCATAGGAAATTCTCTAAGGATTGGAGGCAACCCTTCTGCAAACCCCATAATCTCAGCACTACTTATAATCTCTATTTTCTTCCTATGCAGCCCTGTAATCATCAGGGCTAGAGTTGGTAAAAGCAGAAAAGTTTTTGCTTTCCATGGCTCTGGGGTTTGAAAGACATAAAAACATAAAGAGTTCAATGCTTACTCTTCTTTGCCTAGTGGCATCACAACTGCCTTGTGGTTTCCTCTCCAACACTGCTCTCCAAAAGGAAAGTTCTGTTGCTGTGGGCAGTAAAAGAGCTGAACCAAACACTTCGTCTTCCGTTTACGTGGAGGGCTCAGAGCATTTATAATCTCAGTCTTGGACTTGTTTTGAGACTCATTCAGATAAAGATCATTATTTTTAATAATGATTTTCCCAAAAGGGGATCATTAAACTATTAAAAAAAGAATACAAACAGCACTCTTTGTTTTCAACATAATAACAGGGAGCATCATGTATGTGATCTTATTCTGAGCTTGGAGGTCTTGGGGGTTTGATACAGGGGCTTTCCCAGGAGACTCTCCATAGTTCAAACCCTTTGGGAAGGACAGGTGTATGAAACTGTACACAGATGAAAATGCTTATACCCTGGTGTCTTTGGAAGCTCAATATTCTACTCAAAATTGCACATTCTTCTAGCACAAATGAGGTAGAGATCTTTTCTCTCTTCTTTCTCCTAGTGCTTCTTTGGCTTTAGGCACAACTAACACATAGCTAATAATATTTTAAACACCTATACAATATTACATGTACATACATATCCTCGCACACATGATCATATGATGCATTCATTTTAGACACACTCATTTTAGACACATTCATTTTAGACACACCACTTCCTGGACCTTTTTCCTGGCACTCTCTTTCCTGTCTTAGTTCCCCTTCATCCATCATGCCCCAATTATTTATGTTTACAACTTACAACTCTTTCCTTATTTTCCTAATTGCTGATATAACCAAATAGATTTATAGGGGCCTTACAATTGACCATAAACTGCATATTTTTTGACCTCTTGCTTTTGTCATTTAATAATAGTTCATTAAAATATTTCCAAAATTCTATGTTTAGACATATCATAATTTATCCAACAACACCACATTGAGAAATCCATTATTTTTCCATTCTTTTACCACCAAAAGCAATGGTAAAATAGCCATCATTGTGCATACATCTTGATGTACCAGTACTTTTATTTCAATGGTATAAATTCCCAGAATGTTCTTTTAATTAATATCAGATGGTTTTTTCCAAAGACTATAATAATTCACATCTCTGCAAGCAATGTATAAAACTACCTTTTCTTCCCCACTTACATCAATAGACAGATCATCTAAACTGAAAATTAACAAGGAGACAGTGGCTTTGAATAACTCACTGGGCCAGATGGACTTAACAGATATATTCAGAACATTCCATCCTAAAACAACTTAATACATATTCTTTTCAAGTGCACACAGAACATTCTCCAGGATAGATCACATATTAGACTACAAAACAAGCTCAATAAATTCAAGAAGATCAAAGTCATACCATGCATCTTTTCTGACCACTATGCTATGAAACTAGAAGTCAGCCACAAGAAAAAATCTGGAAAGACCACAAATACATGGCGGTTAAAGAACATCCTACTAAGCAATGAATGGGTCAACCAAGAAATAAAAGAAGAAATAAAAAAATGGAAACAAATGAAAATGAAAACACAATGGTCCAAAAAATTTGGGATTCTGAAAAATTGGTCCTAAGAGGGAAGTTATAATAATACAGGCCTACCTCAAGAAGCAAGAAAAATTTCAAATAAACAACTAACTTTACATCTTAAAGGAACTAGAAAAAGAACAAACAAAACCTAAAACTAGCAGAAGGAAGGAAATAATAAAGATGAGAGCAGAACTACTGGGTATTTACCCCAAAGATACAAAAGTAGGGATCCGAAGGGGTACGTGCACCCCGATGTTTATAGCAGCAATGTCCACAATAGCCGAACTGTGGAAAGAGCCAAGATGTCCATCGACAGATGACTGGATAAAGAAGATGTGATATATATATACAATGGAATATTATGCAGCCATCAAAAGGAATGAGATCTTGCCATTTGCAACGACGTGGATGGAACTGGAGGGGATTATGTTGAGTGAAATAAGTCAAACAGAGAAAGACATGTATCATATGATCTCACTGATATGAGGAATTCTTAATCGCAGGAAACAAACTGAGGGTTGCTGGAGTGGGGGGTGGGGCGGGAGGGATGGGGTGACTGGGTGATAGACACTGGGGAGGGTATGTGCTCTGGTAAGTGCTGTGAATTGTGCAAGACTGTTGAATCTCAGATCTGTACCTCTGAAACAAATAATGCAATATATGTTAAGAAAAAAAAAAGAAGAAGAAGAAGGTAGCGGGAGGGGAAGAATGAAGTGGGGGAAATCGGAGGGGTAGACGAACCATGAGAGACGATGGACTCTGAAAAACAAACAGGGTTCGGGAGGGGAGGGGGGTGGGAGGATGGGTTAGCCTGGTGGTGGGTATTGAGGAGGGCACATTCTGCATGGAGCACTGGGTGTTATGCACAAACAATGAATCATGGAACACTTCATCTAAAACTAATGATGTAATATATGGGGATTAACATAAGAATAAAAAAAATTAATTAAAAAAAAAGATGAGAGCAGAAATAAATGATATAAAAACTAAAATAACAACAAAAAACCAATAGATCAATGAAACCAGGAGTTGGTTCTTTGAAAAAAAAATCAATTAAATTGATAAACCTCTAGCCAGACTCATCAAGAAAAAAAAAAGGACTCAAATAAATAAAATAAAAAATGACAGAAATAACCAACACCATAGAAATACAAAGGATTATAAGAGAATATTATGAAAAATTATATGCCAACAAATTGGACAATTCCTAGAAACATATAAACTATCAAAACTGAAACAGGAAGAACTAGAAAATTTGAACAGACCAATAACCAGCAAAGAAATTGAATCAGTAATCAAACTCTCACAAACAAAAATCCAGGGCCAGATGGCTTCACAGGCAAATTCTACCAAACATTTAAAGAAGAATTACTACCTATTTTTAAACTATTTTATAATATAAAAAAGGAAGGAAAACTTCCAAATTCATGAGACCAGCTTTACCTTGATACCAAACCCAGATAAAGACCCCACTAAAAAAGAGAACTACAGGCCAATATCCCTGATGAACCTAGATTCAAAAACTCTCAGTAAAATACAAGCAAACCAAATCCAACAACACATTAACTGAAGGTTACCAGAGGGGAGGGGGGTGGGAGGATGGATTAAATAGATGCTAGAATTAAGGAGTATGCTTGTCGTGATGAGTACCAGGTGTTGCATGAAGTGTTGATCACTATATTGTACATCTGAAACCAATATTACACTTTATGATAACTATCTGGAATTTAAGTAAAAACTTTATAAAAAAGTGGGTTGCATCCCATGCCTTAGTTATTACACAGTGATCTTATAAAATATAAGACTTGAAGTCCGTGTATGTGAGAGAGAGTGTGTGTTTGTGTGTGTGTGTGTAGGAAGGCAGTATAAACAGAAGTGGATGATGGAGATCTATAAATTTGGGGTTCAGAAATTAAAGGAATATAGAAATCAAAACCCCTTTTTCTTCTGTTTTATCAGCCTTTAACTATAGTACACTCTAATCATTCCAAATTTGATCCTGAGCAGCAATAGCAGCTTGCTTAAAGAAAGTGTCTATTAAACAAAATCAGGATGTAATCAGGGAACTTTCTTTAACTAGGAGGACCATTTTCCATTAAGCATTGAAACTAGAAGTGTTCACACTGACTTAGAAACAGCTGTCCTAGTTCACAGGCCCAGGCGAATCTCATGTCTTACCTGTTTAACTTTCAGCTGTACAATTTCAGTACAGTTATATATATATTTCTCTCATTATTTCATTCATTCCATTCAGATAACTCAAAAAAAAAAAAAAAAAAAAAAACCTGTTAAGGATAACACTTTGTTTTACACGTAAAACACCCTAACTTGATTCCCTTCCTTTGAGAGAAGTCCAAATAGAGCTTGAGTTGCTAACTAAAAGTTATAGCTAAGTCGCTTTTTTTATTATTTTTTAAAAAGATTTTATTTATTTGGGGTGCCTGGGTGGCTCAGTTGGTTAAGCGTCTGTCTTCGGCTTAGGTCATGATCCCAGAGTCCTGGATGGAGCTCGGCATCAGGCTCCCTCCTCAGCAGGGTGTCTGCTTCTCCCTCGGCCTCTCCCTCGGCCCCTCCCCCCATTCATGCTTGTGTGCTCTCTTGCTCTGTCTCTGAAATAAATAAATAAAATCTTCAAAAAAATTTTTTAAAAAAAGAATTTATTTGTTAATTTGAGAGAGAGAGAGAGAGCGCATGAGCGCGGGGAAGGGCAAAGGAAGAAGGAAAAGCAGACTCCCCGCTGAGCGGGAAGCCTGACACAGGG